TTTTCCCCCCCCCCCCCCCCCGCAGCAAGCCTCTTGTTCCCTGCCCTTGTGTGTGTCCAGTGTTCCTAGACGTCCTTGTAGCACTTGTTGCTCTATTGTTTGTCCTCCTTTTGAGGAGGCTGCTCAGAGTTTACTGAATGGGTTAGCAAACAGCTTGTATGAAGAGTAACGGAGCATCCCGAGGCCTTGGCAGTGGTGAAGTCTTCTCTATGTGGCAGAAAAGAGCCAATCCTCTCCCTGCCTGAGAACTGGTGGCAATCTCAGGTTACCTGGTGTCTTCTGTGCCCTCCTGCTTCTTTCCTTTTTTTCAGGCCCCAGTCTGTCCCCAGTTAGTGTTTTCCTCCATGCTGACTGAAAAGAACAAACCAACCAGGACCCATGGAAACTGGCACATCTCTCGAGTGGAAGCTGGTATATAAGACATCAGGACCAAAATTCATATCTTCTCACTCTTGTGAACAGCCCTCCGACCAGAGCTCCCCACTGATTGTGGAGGAACATTCTAGAAAACATCTCTTCTCTGACTGACCCTTGGCTCCGTTAGGGTAATTTCCTGATGTCCTTTGCTCATTCCTGACTCACACCTTGGCTAATACTGCAATCGTGGGTCCCTGAGCACCTCTCTTCTTTGCTAAGCTTGTGCCCATGAAAGAGTTCAAATACTGCTTCTGCCCACATTGCCTGAGCTTTCCAGATCCCAGCCTGGGCTGTCAGGGTTGAGTATCTGAGATTTTACTCAGGTCGTGAGCCTCAGCAGGCAGGGCTAGGCTTTTTCTTTTAAAGGTAAAGTCCCTCACTCAGTGCTGGGCACATAAAGATTGTTCAAGATACTTGCCAGTATTGTTCTGTTTCTTTAAAAATTTGGGATCTCGACTCGATTGTTTACATTTGATCTGCTAGAGGGCAGAAGTTTATTTATATTAATGACAATTTTAAGAAGACAATGTCTCATGTTGATTTAACATTCAGAAGTTATTTTTAAAATAAACAGTCTATGCATCATTTGTTTTTCATAAAACTATTCAGAAAAGTGACTCACATAAGAAGCCTCACATGGGCCTGTGTTGTTCTAGGCCAATTCTCTCTCCACTGTTGGAAAAAAAATAGATAAGCTGCCAGGGAGCTGGGGAGAAGACTCCTGCAGTGGACTGTGTCTTCACATAGCAATTCTTACCCCATCTTATAAACTGAGACCGACATTACTAACAGCCTCTGCATGCAAGGCCCTCTCCAGTCAGTAGACTTGCTGTGAAATAATGACAATTTCAGCTTACGATGTGTAAGACGCTGTTCTAAGTGCTATTCTTAAACATTCTCGTGTTCTCACACCATTCTTGTGAGGTGGTTAATATTACCTATTTTCGCAGGTGAGAAAACAGAGGTGCATAATGGTTAAGTCACTTGTCCAAGCCCTGTGGACTAATGCATGCTAATCAACCATACTCAGTTTCTTGCTCCTCTGTAGTGGTTCTCTTGGTGATCGGCACCCTATCAGGGGATCAGAAAGGCTCGAACTGACCTAACAAAGGATCTTATTAAGTTAGATCTCCTGTTGGAGGGATGCCCCACTGTAGATTAAAGTTATAGTGTTAGTGTTCAACTTCTGCTAAGGTCACGTTGGTCACCTTTGGGAAGATGTTTTGCTAGGGGTTGGGGCATGGAATTCTTGGAGACAAACATCATGAGCTCACTCCTGAGAACATGATGAGAAACTGCTTTTTCCCAAGTTTAGGAAAAAAAGAAAAAGAAAAGAAAACAACAACCCACACTAACAATAGTAGTTAGTCAGTCACCCCTTCCAAGCCTCTAAGATTCTTGACGATCAGACCCGTTAGAAGTGACTGTCAGCAGTGCCACAGTGTGGTGATGAGAAGAAATGCAAGTGGCAGATGAATAAAATTCAGATGCTGATTTTGTCACGTTCAAACTTCCTCTCGTAGCTCCTGCTAGAGACTGAGGGTTACAGGACTAGCAAGGAAGAGCTGTGTGGATTTCTGTCAACTCTACTATTTTTTTCCTTGAGTTTGTTGAGCAGAAACAGCACGTAAACTTTCATCGAATATATATGTGCAGTTATCTGTGTTTTGTTATCTGATTTGAATAAAAATAGTGCATGAAGTTAATATTAGGCACCTTATTAGATAAAGGGGTGCACAGTAGACTTGCCTGCCCATATCACCCGTCTTGTTTTTCTCACTGTCTTCATTGGGGCTGGAGTTAGGGTCTGAGGTCAGAAGGTGGCCAAACAACCCTTTCCACAGGCAAACCATGGCTCTGGAAGAGGGTTTGAGGAATGCAAGCTCTTCACAACTCTGCTGCTTTTCCTATGGCCCTGAGAGATCCCTGGCTAGTGCCCAGTGAACAACGGTGCTTCCTGGCAGCAATGAGACCACCTCCCGAGCTAGCCCTCCATTCAACTGCCTTAAACCAGAAGGACTCAGTGGATGAAGTCACTGGCTTTCAGCATTGTCTCCCGCATTCCTGGGAAAGTAGTCACTAAGGCCTTTCCCCAAGATGCTCTATACTCTGTAAGTTTGATAAACACAGCCCACATTCTCCTACTTGGTGAGCCACAGGGCCATGCAGGAAAAAACAAAAAACAAAAAACATGTTTGTGTCAAGCTTGGAAATTCAAAATGAACTACACATCACCTTAAGAAATTCTTAAGCCTTAAATACACTTTGGGGAATTCTGCCTAAAATATCCAGAATACATACTTTAACACAGAAAAGGGAAAAAGAAGAGGAGAAAAAGGAGGAAGAAGAAACGTCACAGTGCTCATTAAGGGGTTTGTCTAATAGCCTATAAATAGTTTAGAAGGAAAACCTGGCCACTCTCACATGTGTGTATTAAATGCCTCCAAATATGCATCAACATGAGTAGCCATTTTGGAATGCTTTATGCTCCATGAGGTATGGTAACTCGTCTATGGGACCAAGCCTAGGAGACCAGCAGTCATGTTCTGTGACTGTGAGCTCACTTGTACCTTAAATGGGCTGGAAAATAGTGCTGTGTCCTCTGGATCAACATGGCCCAGCAGCCAGGATCAGTCCCACTTGCCTTTGGTCTGCTCAGAAAGAAGTGAGTCCCCTGCAAGGCTCTCATGTTCCTCCCTCCTGCCTTAGGGTTGGGGATCCATGACTGCTCTCCAGCATCATTTCTTCAGCCAGTTTCGCCAAGGGCTCTGGTGCTTGCTGTTTTGCCTAGCAGTCTCCTTGCACCTGACAGGACCTAGGGCATCATTTGCTTGCAGAAGAGGAACTGACTGAGGCTGAGAGCCTTGCTCGTGGTCCCAAAGCTTGGTTGCAATGTACCAGGGTCTAGCTGGTTGATATATGAGGGTCTTCTTGACTGGACAGGGGCCCCTACATTTTAATAAGAATTGTTTTATTAAGGGAACTGTTAGCAGCTGGAGTTGGATGAGGAGCCTAGTCTTTCCTAAAACCTCAGAATTTATAACTGTTGAGAAGTCACAGGAAGATGATCTGAGAACATCCCTCACTCTACAGGAAGGGTATTGGGCTTCTGTCTTCTCAGCCCCAGGACTGGGAGGAGAGCCTGTTATCCAGGATGCTCTTGAGAAAGACAGCCTAGTGTTGAGTGTCCACCTGGCAGTTCCTGTCTCTGGTCAAGCAGACTTAGCCCTAATTTTTATAAGCCTCAGAGTTCTCATCTGCAAAATGAAAGTGATGCCATTTACCTCCGTGGCTGCTGTAGATGAGGGTAATATATATGGGCCACATGGCATCCTCTAAGAACTGAGCTCCCGTCAATAAGGCAGGTGACCAAGCATAGAGCTACCAAGAGCTCTAGGACCCCTGTTTGTGGCTATGAGAAACGACGCTGCAGCTGACAAGCACCCTCTAACATCTTTCAGAATCATATCTGTCTGAACAACCATATAAAAGGAAAATTCTGCATGTTAAGTCCCAATTGTCCCCTCAAATGTCTGAATGAGAAGGTCATGGAAGTCACCTGATTCTAACCAAATGTATGCACAGGTGTGATCTCCTGTATGTCACACACAAATGTCCTCTGAGCTCCTTCTAGGAGCCCTTTGTGGGATGGGTGCAGTTGAACATGACCTAGATTGCTGCCCTCAGCTTCAGAGCAGGGCAGGACCACATGGTAGTGGCCATGCGGAATATACACCTAGCACTCACCCAGGTAACAGGCGCTGTTCTTAGTGGGTCAGAGAGCTACTCCAAGCCTTCGATGTTAGGACTGACAGATGAGGACACCTAAGCACAGAGTAGTTAAGTTCCTTGCACAAGGTCACATGGTTGGTATAGACAGGGTTGGAATTCATATTGGTGAAGCTGGGCTCCTGAGTAAACCTCACTCACTCTACACAAGAGAGACAAACCAATGCCACCAAAAAGAAGTCAAAGAGAGAAGAAACTGTTCTACATGGTAAAAAGGGAAGCGTCCTGTGCGTACATCCCAGTCATGCTCCGAGCTTCTGAGACATGGGGACAGTATTGTGTGTCTGATGCACCCAGGAACTGGTGATCCAGCGAGTAAGTTAGCTAAGCCATTTTATGAACTGAAATTCTGGATTGATATCAAAGGGAAACCATTGTCAGCTTTTGTGATTGTCATCCACCACAGCAGCTGTCAATCAGGCATCATCCTCTCTTTAGTTTGGGACCAATTTTTCAAATGTACTTGCAAGCCTGCAATGAGCTTTGGAAAACATTTGTTCTTAGATTTGTCATCAGAAGACCTGATAGACTGACCCAAAGAAGCAATAACCTGCTAGCTCAGGAGCCTGCAGCAACTTAGAGTTTAGAGCATGCCCGGACAGGACAATAACAGCTAAGCCTGGGAGCCCAGGATGTTCCATGCCAGTCCCTATTCTAAACAATACATATCCACGTGTGTGTAAACACTGCTAATTCTCACTATGGAACAGGTAGGGTCTTATCAGGTAGGAAAGCAGACATAGAGAGGAAGTGACTCTCCCAAGGTCACTCTGATGATTAAATCTTGGCTGGGAGTCAAGGGATCCTGGTGTGTGTATTGGAACAGTCCAGGGCTGAATCTTTACAGTTCAGGAGTGTGAGCAAGTAGTCTGTGATCTGGAAGACCGAAGGGGCATTTCATACACAATACTCATCCTGCCAATGCTGCCCAATGCTTTCCACTGTGCCCCAAACAGGGAGGAAGAGGCTATGGCTTAGGAGCCATGACATCTGGACTCCTGTTCCAAAGCTAATGCTTATTCTAAGACAAAACTGTCCCCATCTTTCCTCTTGGAAATGGGAATCTCCTCTGAGGACTCCAGTGAGTCCAATGGGGGTTGGTATCAGGGCACTTGAGAATGGGGTGGGATAGGGGTGGTAAAGAGTGACCAGGAGTCTGGGATCTGGCTTGCAGGGACACCTACTGCTGTCCCAATGCTGTGTTGCTGTGACCCCACCACCCCGGTGTTCATGAAGGCTTTGGGCTCCATCACATGAATTTCAAAGGAAGGCCACACAGAAGGGAATCCTTTCTGTAGGCAGTGAAGGATGTCAGGGCGAAGCACACAGTTTTGCTGAGGAAATGCATTGTGACCCTGGGGTATAACAGTAGGCCTGGCCTGCAAGCTGGAGCCATGGGCTGAAGTCTGGGGCAATGGGAGTGGACATTCCCTGGGGGAGCTGTTCACCACCCCGTCTGTCTGCTTCCTTGAGAGTCCTGCTCAAATCCCAGGGCT